GGGGCGCATCCCTGAGGCGGGATTGATTAACGTCAAAAACTTTAATTTTTACCTTTTTAGAGATTCAAAAGAGGGAAGCCAGCCCCGACTTCGTGATTTTGCTCGTGAAATTCAATTTTATGGTGCAGCGAAAAGAGTCTATAACCTCCTGTCGGTCGACTTCCAGGGAAATCGGCACCTCATACATTAAGAACAAGGTCTGTTCCATCACGGTCGAGCGTCCTCTGTGGAGGTTGAGGAAGAGAGAGGGAAAGATCCCGGACTCTGAATTAATTTTTTCCCGACAACATGTGATGTACTGAGTGGCTGTAACTACCAAAAAACGGTGATTCAATTTTGGCCTCTCAAGAGAAGCGAAGGAGTTAAAAGAAAAAGTCATCTCAAAATGAAGGTAGGGATTTTAATGCGCGTCAGCAACCCGCGCCTTATCCTACCACCACATCCACCCCGAGAAGATTATCATATGGGCAAATAAATACGCCGCCTACTGTTGCAAAAGTTTTTTTGTTTGTTCGCCTGTACTTCTACCTCCTACAGGTCTTGTACCTCCGGCTCACGAACCGAAATCGAAGCACAAATAACAAGGATGAGTGCACTGTCACAAGTGGTAACCTCTTTGCTTGCATCCTACTATGTGAGCTTTCATAGTGTGGACTGATGCATGTGACGTCCCGATATACCAATGAAGCGCGAGAAAGCAGTCTTAATTGCCTTCTCATCTCCGAATTTGAGCAACAGCTCGGTGATCGTGAAACTGACGTAAAGGTAGCAATAACATTTCCGAATGCTCGAGTATTCTTCATTGCAGTCAACGCGTCTAATCCCCTTTACTTTCTTTGGCAGGATCACATATCGTAGCTTGCCTTTGTTCATCATAAAACCAGAGGGTAGAGGGATTTGTTTCAATCAGGCTCAGTCTATACAACCAGCTCAGGTACTGGAAGCAGCTACTGCTCAAACATTAAGTCCATTTCAAGAATTGAGCCTATTGATTCCACGGAACAGTCAATCAGTTCCTTCGCTTCATACAGCACATCAGAGGAATCTGAGGCAGCACGCTATGGGAATGTTGAAATCATCAAACTGTTCATGTAGGCTTGTTAAGAGATTCAATAGAAAGTAGCTGGGTTTCATGAGAGTTAGAAATGGTGAAAGCTGTAGAGGTTGCACAGGAACCCAAACGTGGCAGAAACTTACTGCAGCTGTATGCGTTGGCGCGCACATTTGAACAACTAGTCCGAAACAGGTTTAATGCAACTTCTGCCGTCACAATCTCGTCCAACCCTTAGTTTTACTTATTTTACACACCCTTAAACTTCTTTGGTTGCGCCAAGTCCGTAACTTCTTCGCCACTTTTGCACTATTCTAGACTATCACTTTCATCGCCCGTCCAAACCTATTAGGTTGAGCCCAACGAGGTTGGGTTTGGGCGTGCTGCATAGCCAGGCGGAAGCCGATCCGTATCAAACTACTCGTGAGCTGGCAGTCACTCCTGGGGTAAGTCAGTTCATTTGCTAACTGCTGAGGCTCTCTAATGAGACATTTTTTCTTGACGATGTCCCATTACTTTTATTCTATGGTGGAAGCGAGCGACTGATGCAGGAGCATGCTACTCAAACCCAAGCCCTATCAAAACAAACTTCCACGGGTATCACCTAGATCTGACGGGTCCGATTCGAGATGAGTCGTCGCCCCGATCAAGAAGAAAATTTTTGAGCTAGATACTTCTGAATTACACTCCCAAATCGACGACAAATTACACAACAATCAGTAAAAGTATGTAAGATATCCGTTTTGAATGAACAGTAATATTTCAGATTCGTGAGGGAGCAACCAGCAAAGCGAATATTCTAGCGACTTTACTGCCCGAAGAAGAAACTAACACAACGCCAACCGGAATACTGCTGCAAACTATAGCTCTTCCCTTACGTGAACTCGAATTTACTACGACGCTATCTGAAGTAAAGGGACCTTTCTCATCTGAAAGGAAACCACAACGACGTCATCTGAAAAATCCGCTCCCAGGAAGGCGAAATTCTTCTGTGGTCCTTCTGCACGCGTTCCGTGTACCCTCATATCTCCTGTATATGACCTGGGCTATTCAGTGGACCTGGGCTCCACTATTTGGACCGCGGATGGGACCTTGGCCTAGAACTTATTGGCCTTGCCCAATGGCTCCGATTCCTGTAGCTACTGCGTAGCCTGCAGAGCTTGCGCAGCCTGCACCTCCTGCTAATCCTGCAACTGGCCCAGGCATACCAGATGTACTTAATCCACTCAAACCACTTATACCAATGTGGTTGAGCCACTTGTACCAGCTCCACTTGAACCGTCAGCTGGAGCTCTCAATGATGCACCCCAGCTTGCCCAACCGAGTGCACCAGCAGAATCCGAAACAGGTGGAGCTTTCGCACATGTTGGACCCTTTGGGCCAGACGTATGGATCAATTGGGAGAAGGGTTAAAGGAACTAAGGAGAAATAAAATTGTGATTGGGTTTCACAAGAATCTCTTTGTGTATGTATTGATGTTTCTTTGATATGTATTGATGTTTCTTCTTTGTTTCTCTGATGTTTTTGACCGAACGACATTTTGAAAAAAAGTATCAATCGCAACAAAAATCGAGCATTGCGTGACAGTAGCACCATGATTCAAGTCAGTACGAGCGCTTCCGATTTGAAATTTTTCGATGGTCTCAGTTAGAGCATTAACCCCTCAGTGAAAGGCTCGATGACGAGCCTAGGAAGGAACAAAAACTGCCAACTCAGAAAATGAGAATTCGAGAGGTTGATTGAACTTGACCGAACAGCACAGCACACGTACGGCACCTCTATTTAGTAAGGGACAGGGTGTCAATTTACTAGTAAATACATCACTTGAAGAGACGACGAGATGGTTAACAGAACTCCAGCAGAGGTTGTATGAAGTTCTTGTGACATGTTGATAAAATTGTGGTCATGTTGTCGCTTGTTGAGAGGGAACTTACCTTAAAGGCTCAGTTTGCGATAATGGCGTGAAAGGAGTGTTTGGGTGAGCTCCCTTCTATGCCTACAATTGCGTAAAGCTTACTTAATTGGGTCGCAGAATCGTTGCCAACCGCTGGTGAAGTGACTCAATGCTTGTTCAGACACATTTCACCTTGAAAATGGTCCCTGAGAATACTCCACAATATGAAAGTTTGACCCACAAGGATATAGTCCAAGGGGCGCTGTTGCAGCGAAAAACGACACGAGAGCACGTAATGAGAACCCCCAAACCAGCCTAGTCGACGTAACACTCAGAGCTGCGAATTCCTCAAGATGCTCCCCGAACGACCGAAGAGCTGCCAGAGAAAGCTTGCAGGCTAGTGGTCTTGGAGCAAGTTTCGGCTTAGCTGGGTAGTAGCGCTATAGTTCTTCATGTGAGCGCATCTTATCAACAAGTTTGGGACAGTGTGCCTTTTATAATAAAGGCATTCAACACTTCAAGGGATTTCGGTGATGAACGATTGTCGAGCTTACTAAAGCTTACTGAAAATGGTTTGATTTTTCACGTAACTACGAGTCTATCGTTCATTCCCAAACTGAGGAAGGGATAGTGCTCTCGAACAACAACGCGTCAAAAGCTCAAAATGACAAATTAATCACGAAAGGCCACCGCTTATGAGGCTCCAAATTCATAAGCACCTTACTAAGCAAATTTAAGGCTTTGGAAAGCCACCAGCTATAAGTTTATTAAATTGTGATCAAGGTGTATATCTTGCTCACAATTAAAGAAACTCATAGGTTGTGGCTTCCTACAACCATGAAGGCAACAGTCCATGGGCTTGGGACAGAATAGCGACCAATACGCAGCTATACTTTCTGACAAGAAGTATCAATAGCATGTACGCTATTGCCCAATCTTCATATATCAAACCTTTTCCCTCGCAGAAGCAGCGCAAATAATTCGCATTGAACTCGGAACCGCTAGAATTAGCAGTGCTGCAAATCAATGTATGTGCAAAACCGTTTCTATTTGCGCGAAAAAGATTAACGATCTTTGGAGTAAGGTACTTATTTGGAAAATGGTAAAAAAACTGATTAAAAATTACTCTGGAAATGAAGCACACTAGCGATCCAAGCAAATCATGCAGCTAAATCACGACTGCCTTCGAGAACTTTCAATCAGCCAAATTTTCGGACCACTTGCTTAGCACTTTATGGAGCACCTTGAAGATCATCGATTCCCGTGGTCTCCATTGATAAGCACATGAGAAGGTGAACTTCTTCCCTTGTCACTAAGATCAAAGAGAGAAGAAATTTTCTGAATTTCACTGAATCCACCTCCTCACAGATGTGAGACCGGCATTTTTGATGGCCGTGCAGTTCACTTACGAGGAAAGGTCGAAAATACTACGTACTACCCACAACCTTTTTTAAGTGGCTTCATACAGAAATGATAGCAACTTCATGAAAGCAAAGGCTGCCCTTGTACTGCCATTCATCTCTGATGGGGTCAGCGCCACCATTAAAAAATGTTTCAGAAGGTTGGTCTAGAAAATTCAGTGGACGTTATGAATGTACCACCTTTCAGTCTTAAGCAGCGCTTGGTTCGGAACCGATCATGCAATCACCTATTTATCACCTCAAGTTGTGTGGTCGGTCCAACTGGCAGGGAAGGGGATTGCACTATGTCTAAGGTGGTCTACAATCACCTGTCGTGATTGTGGGGATGATTATATTGGCGAAACGGTAAGACCACTGCACGTGAGAATCGTGGAGCACCTGAATGGCATGCATCGTTTACGATAGTCTATCGCCTTAGGAGCCCACTGCATTCGAACCTATAATCAAGGAGGCGTTTTGAAGAAAACCTGGAGGTCGTGGCCAAGGAGACGCAATTATGCGCGCGAAAACAATAACTGCGGGAACTGAGGCCCTATTTGAAGTTAAAATTTTCCTCCCTCCCCCCCTCCCCCCCCCAACGATCCCCATGATCTGCACAGAAGGACATGCCTGACAAATTTTTGTTTAACCTTCATTATAGAAAAGTACCTGGTCTGTATCTGTCGTTTACGTCGACTTGGAAATTGATCCGGCTGAGATCGTCGATGATGCCATCTCCCGTTGCCTTCAAGACTGCCTCTTTGAGGCACTGCAACTGTATTGATATTCAGAAAAATTTCGTGCAACCACACACATATACATACATACATACATACATACATACATACATACATACATACATAGTAAGTAGAAGTAGAAAGTAGAAGGGCTAGTGTCTCCGAAAATCTAACTATTCGAAGAATTTGTTTGTTAGTTGATCGTGATCCAGCCAGGGATGGTCGAGTGGTTGAAATCATGTACGCACTCAGAAAGAGCGCGAGTTCGTTCCCTGCCGAGGCAAAATCCATGCCTTGCAAGAATGGTATCGGTCCAGCATCAGGCTCAGGTTGACAGACCGGCTGATGAAGACACCCAGTCACGACAACCATGTCAAAAGTCTCGAACCAGTGATAAAGCTAGGACATCAGTTGCTGATCTAATGAAGCGCAGAAAAATCCAAGTCCTATGCCTTCAGGAGACCAGCTGGAAAGGAGCAAAGGCCGGCGTAGCCGAAGATTGTGTTAAGCCCTACTACAACGGAAAAAACAATGGATGAGACGGTGGAGCCATCGCAGTAGCAAATCCCTCGAAGACTCTCTCTATGCTGTTAACAGGATTAGCAATCGGACAATGGCTGCGAGGATGGACACAAAAGAGTTCACTGAACAATAATATGCGTATACGCCTCGAAACTGGCTGGCCCGGCTGTGAAAGTATGAAACCTGCTTGAGCCGTGTGGAGGCCTTCAGATCAGCTCTGAGTGACTAACTTACTGTAATGAGTGAACTTAGTGGCTACGTGGGAGTGAGCGAGGGAGTTTCGGAAGGATTCACGGAGGCAAAGAAATAAGAGCCAAGAAAGAAAAAGAAGAGAGGGCCTTGAAGTGGTCACAGCCCATGACCTAGTGGTCTGCAGCACGTGCAGCGTTTTTCTCCGTGGAAAACAAAACGCACAAAACATTACACAGCATTGGAGGGGAAGAAACGTAAAGATTAGGGAGTCCATACTTCGTTGGCTATTTGTAAACAGCGTCGCGTTACGCAACGCATTGTGATTTTGCATAATGATTTCGCAATACTGGAATTACTCGCCCTGGGCTATCTTCTGAGCTAGCTAGCTCCGAATTTCCTTTCCTGCTCTTCCCACAATAAAGCAGTGAGGACGAGTGATAGTCACCACCACCGCCGATGTTTGCTGGACTACTAAAACCTGGCCATCTTCAGACATCAGGCCACGACCAGAATGCGTCAGCAGTTTTGTGACAACGCCCCTTCAGGAAATAGATGTCAAAATGGTGAACTCGCTTCACCAATGGAAACTATGGCATCGAAGATATGCCGAGGTCCGGTCGTCCAGCCACCGTTGATCGACAAGGCATTCTGAATGCCCTGGGCGATGAACCGACGTCGTCCTTGCGCGACTTAAGCAAGGTCACACAGGTACCCGTTTCGCCATCCACAAAGTCCTTATTGATTCTGGCAAGGTGTCGAAGAAGCGTCGAGTTGTCCCTCACGACCTCACGTTGGCACAGGCAAGGAAGCGGGTTGAGGTGTGCTCCGACGACCTCAGACTCAAAGGCCTGAGAAAAACTCTAGACTCCTTCATTTGCCGAGATTAGAAGTAGGCCTATTACGCTAATCCTGCCAACAAACCAGTCTGGGTGGGTCGATGGGTATCCCCCCAAGCCGTGCAAAGAGAAACATGCATGGAAAGAAAGGCTCTCTGTCATTCTGATTCTCTCGCCACGGCATCTCCACCACAGCACCCTACCCAACAATGCCACAGTGACGGCAGAGACCCTCTCTAAAGAGCTGCAGAAGGTCAAGGTGAAAGCTGTCGCCTTGTCCCAGAAACTTGCAAATCCGTGGTTGCTCTGGGACAACGCGCGCCCCCACAAAGTGAGGGATACCCAGGCCGTCTTGGACAGGCTGGGCATCAGGACGGTCACGCATCCACCGTATAGCCTGGACATCGGTCCATGCGATTACCCCATCTTCCGGTCCATGCAAAATTGTTTGGACGGAAAACAGCTGACGAACGAGCGCGACTTCGAGGACATGATCGAGGACTGGGCCGAGTCGCGTCCGGCCGGCTTTTGAGGATGGAGTTGCCTCTCTACCCGATAGCTGGCTAAAGGCCTTGGGTATGCAGGGAGATTATATCATGGACCAGTAATTTCAACTTGGTGAGTTACCTTTATAAGCTCTGAAAAAAACGAATGGCCAACGAAATTCAGGAAACGAATCAAGGTAAAGCCAGGCGAAAAACTGGCTACGCAGAAGAGGCCTCTTCTAGCAGACATGCTTATAGAATTTCCTAAAAGGACAAGGACTAAAACAGCTCGAAGGGTCCGGTGGTGAAGGTTGCACCAAGCCGAAAGAGAGGAACTCGAAGAAGCTACTGGAAGCTGGTATCCCAAATTCTGGAGGATCTATTCAGCAGACCTGGAGCAACACTGTGAAAATCATCCTACAGTGGTGAGGGAAACGCTCAAAGAGACTTGCCATGATTTCTGAGGAGACAAGGAAGCATGGTTCTGGAACCAGGAACTTCAACACATCGAAAGACAGGAGAAAGCGGCCTACAAGCGGTGACGGAGCACCTGAGCTGCGAAAGACCTACAGAACTTCCAAGAGGCTCGCCAAGGCTGTTGTAGCGAAAGCAAGAAACACAGAAATAAACGCCTCGTACGAGGAATTTGATGGCCATTAGGGATAGAAATTTGTCTTCCGTCTGGCCGAAGCGTGGACTACTCAAAACTTTGGGGTGGTGAAGTGCATTAGGAGCACGTAGGGGCAATCGTGAGAGAGCTTGATGAGGTCAGGAGTAAGTGGAAAGAAAATTTTGACAGGCTTTTGAACGAAGGATACCGCCGTGAGAACCGCTACCAAATAGAAGGCACGGCTGGTCTTGTCGCACTGTGGACAGAGGGTGAGGTGCGTAGAGCAGTTGTTGAGATGAAGGCTGGAAAAGCATCTGGTCCGGATGAGGTTCCCATCAAATCATGGAAAGCGCTTGAAGAGAACGTGATTAGGTGGCTTACCCGAATCCTAGTACTGTGTTCACTAAGGAAGAGTACTGGATGCCTGGGGGAGCAGCACCGTCGATCCATATTGAAGCAGAAGGGGAACGGGATAAGGTGATCCAACTACAGCGGTAACTACAAGGGTACAGGCTGACTGCCCACGCAATGAAACTTAACAAGCGGTTAGTAGGCTCAATATTGAGGAAACTCGTCCAGATCTCACAGGAGCAGTCTGGCTTTGCCTCCAGAAAGGCCTATCACAGATGCTATCTCCATAGCCAGAGAAGTGATGGGGAAGTGTCGAAAGAAGCGTGGACCTTGTTACCTAGCCTTCCTCGATTTGGAAAAGGCCTTCGACCGTCTTCAGCGACAAGTTCTCTGGAGAGCGCCCCGAGAGCGAAACGTTCCAGAACACTTGAACGCTTGGTAAAAGATATGTTGTACGACTGGATCCACAACAGCAATACGCTTTCCACTTGGCTTGACCCAAGCGGTAGACACCAGGGACCAGCTCGACGTCATCTGCTCTTCCTACTCACACTGGGTGTCATCACCAGCGGTCTTCTGCTTGGACCATTAAACACTACCCTCTACGTCAATGACATTGCTCTGATAGGAAAGGGCATAGAAAAACCTCAGGACAAGCTGGAGAAAAGGCAGAAAGGAAGTGGTGTTGCCTGACAAGAATCTTGTGACGGCGCAGGATTAATGCTATGGAGAAGAAGAAGCTAGTTGGTCGTGATTCTAGTGATCCGTCAAAAAAAAGCAACTGAGCAAGAATTAACGAATTTGTTGGTGTGGCGGATGTCAAGCATAAGCTACTTCGCCATACCTATCGTGTTCAGAGATGCCAATTCATTTCCAATCTCAACGATCGGCGTAGGACTAAAAGATGCGAAAAGTTGCTAACTCACTTGAGTGGGGACACACATACCTTCGTCGTTTCCTCTGACCTCTGGCGAGAAATTTTTTCACGATGAAAGCAATTCTCAACAGTGAAAGCGATGGTGCTCTGCATAGAAACATGGGTCCTTCATTTTCTCCCCAAATACTGCGTCGCGCTTGCCGCCCCCGCCGCGTATCGCAGAAAGGCAATGGAAGATTGGAGCGCGCTATTTGCGAGCGAATTAAGAGTCCCTCAATTATTCGAATTTGCTGGCCGCTCCCTTCAATTCCAATGAGGTTTTAATCGTCGATAATATATGTATGAGAAGGCAATCCTAACAGTCAAGTCTAATAAACATAAAAACGGAAAAGATACACAAAAAATAAAACGGTCAAGAAAGAAAGGCAGTCAACGAAAAGTGTTGCTCCCTATCGATTGGCGGGGAGGCGGGCTGAGTACGGTAGTTGCAGCTTGTAGCCGCGAGACTACTAAAAAGATTCGGCGCATGCCGCAGAGCGAATGTGGGAAAATGGAGAGGAGTTCCGTCACCCTAGAAACGTAGATAGTGCAATCTTTCACGGAAATTTGTTACAAGAACAACAAAATGTGTTTATTGAGAGAGACATGGCCAATGGTGGTTTAGTCGGTACCGGCGCGATAATTAACAAAAAACTGTTCTTAGAGAGCACACGGATAGACGTAATGAAGCACGGACCCGACACCACTTCCTAAAGTAGCCAGCGGTCTTCTCATAAGGACTTTACTCCAGCGTGTAGATACAAGGTCAGGAAAGAGTGTTGCAGATGAGAGCTACCGCCTTCGTTAGCACTGGGGAGTGATCACCGTGCTCTCAAGATCTTGGGCTACTTGGCTCCTCCGTATGATCACTGATCAGAAGAGGACCTGACGAGTTGGCGTTCTCAATTTGGAGACCTCGAAAGTAAGACCTGGGTGGAGCTTGAAATACATTGCAATGGAAAGGCGCCCATAATTTCGGGATCCTATATATACACAAACATTCATGCACAAATGCATACATACAGACACACGAAATTGGTGGATTATATATAGTGAGGATTACTAACGCACCCAGTAGCGGTAAAACATGGTCATTTTCATCGCCTCCGTTGGTTGACTTCGCATCATTCGCAGCTCGCCAGGGGACGCTGACTTCGCCATTGTATTGATGTATTCATCTGCGGTCTTGCCGGCACCTGAAAAGCTTCTTTGGATAAATTTCACGGAGAAGGCAAGCCTTCCATACGTTTTTTGTCCAGTCGCATGAGATCGACACCGACGCTTGAGGTGCAGCTACTTGCAAACCCGACGAAGTCCCCCTCGAAGCAAGTTTTTATGCTCAAGAAAAACAGAAGAATATTTATCACAAAAAAAACCTGGTGCGTAATGTTCAGACCGAAGTTTGTGTGCGGAGGATTCAAGAGAAACGGCTTGCCCTTTTCCGTCCTACCAATCTGAATTTCCTTCCATGGTGTTCCGGTGAACTGAGAACAATGATTTTCGATTCAAGCTAGAGATAGTCCTTGTTATGTGAAAAGACAAGTTTCGGAAGAAGTGAGATAACTCGAAAAAGTCTCGCAAATTTGGAATTCCAAGTACTGAATGTGAAAGCTGTGCAGTACCACATGAGTCGCATGCCTCAGCAGTAGCCGTCCAACAACACACTGGAGAACATCCTCCCTTAAAATGTAAAGTCACTCAGAATTCATGTAGTTTGCCCTACTTATAAGTCGCCACATAGCACAATAAAAACACTAAGGGAGTTTCAGTGAGTCACGTCTACTTACGCCATCAAAAGTTGAAATACATGAAAAATGCCACCCATTATGGGTAAATTCTGATCTACTTGCTGATGCTGATGTTATCCTCTACTCTATGAAATAATGTCGGTGGGCAAAACATACGAGTGTATGAAGATGCTCACAGAATAAAATAGTAATGCGCAAATGCAGAACTACCTGTGGCAAAACTTGAAATGTGTGAGAAATCAGCAGAATATTTCTAATAAAAAATGAAATGATAGCGTGAAATCGAAGATACCGAAGCGCAAAAATAGCATGCTGATGTCAGCAAACGACCATTTATGAAACAACACTCGAGTGATCTCATCTTGTATCTTCTCGATGTTTTTGTATGAAGAATGAACGTGTATACTGCCTCGACGTTCGAGAGGAAACAGCAACAGAGATGAACAGCACTAAATGCTAGTATAACTCACGATGAGAACCTTCAAGTGACAATAACATCGGATGGATAGCATTGTAGAGGAGGATAAACACATAGTGGCATAAGAGTCTCAGTCAACCACGCGTCGAATTCCACAAACCGTATTAAATGAGAACTTTCTCACCGTGAAGGACTTCTGACGAATTGGTACCTCTGACTTAGTTTGCAGTTAGGGGGGGAGGTTAATCTCGAGTCAAAGCCATTAGTATTCTTTTAGAGATGCCTTTGGATTCAACCTGCTCTGTTAGTCAATTTATTGATTCCGTCTCTTCGTAGGCGCGATGTGGGCGTGTTTCGAGGGGGGGCGTGTTACCCTGCACGGCGGCTTAGTCAAAAAGCTTACGTTCGACTGGCTGGAATGTACCGAGAAGCGATTCGATGTCGTCTAATATGAGTTCGGTGTGCAATTTTGATAGCTTGCTATCTGCTCGGAGTCTACCCATTTCGATGGCAGAGCCTTATGAACTACTATGAGTATCTACATGCCAAAAACAGCAATGCATATTGATAGGCTCCGTTCTTCTGACTGTAAGCCTGAGGGAGCATTAATAGCCTGCGGGAGCAAGAATGGGAGAAGCTCCTGAGAGGCTGGTGAAATCTCAGACTGATCTATACATTAACGCAGAAACACTGATCATGGGAGCGTGCCTGGTGAGGCAAATGAGGAAGATCAGCTATGACATCATCAAAAGAACAAATGAAAAGGCATCCTAAAATACACTTTATTTCTAAGTAGAAAAATAAGGATGGGAAATGCGACAGCAGAAGCGTTAGCGATTTAGGGGTTTTACGCATTCGGCAATGAACATCGTTTTGTATGAATCCTTGAATACAGCTAAAAAGGAAGTAAACCACGTCCGATACCAGACTGCGATGATCCTGAGGATCTGTTCCGGCTCCTCATCATCGCAGTCCGGAAGTAACAGCGGAAGTAACACAGGAAACACCATGATCATAATCAAGATATTTTTGGTACGAGAGTGGCTCCAGAGACACGCCTGAAAAAGTCTACGTCGAGACTCAGAAAAAAAGCTGGTCATTAAAAATGACACCGGCGCTTTCTAGAGGGACAACGAGGTTTATGGGTGAAATCGTATTGCCGTTGTTCTCTTTTCTTCATCTCAGCAAACTTTTTCAAGAAGTGGCGAGAGGCCGTGAAGTATATGAGCGGAACAGCCTTGATCGCTCGCTTTGGATCCTTCCTTCGCGTTCGTAATACCAAAAACGTGAGATATCAGAGCATTGTGCGCCCTATCGCTTTTTTATTGAGTTTGCGACTGTACAGACACGATTCATCGTACTTGATCTCCTTTGAAATTATCCTGCTTTAATGTCTATCCAACATTGAGTGTTCCGCCTATCCTGCAGCGTTCTTTATTATACTACCTAATAGTCTCACTTGGTTTCCATGGAGATAGTAAGGTCCACCCCAACAGGTATCCCCTAGGGAACCAAACCGATATTTCAAACAATTATGCTTCTCAGACGGCTTCTCAGATGCCATCTTTATCCTTATCAACTACCATAACTACCATTTCAGGCTACAGCTTAACTCAGTTATAACTTACGAATAGCTAGAAAGGCCTCGTAAGTTGCAGTTGGGAACCCACCTCGAATGTAGAGACGACCTGTGGACCACCTTTCGAATTGCATATTTAAAAGTCTCCGCAGTGGGTGGGCACCGGGTGACCTGACCGCCGACTTGAAGCCGGTTGCCGTTGTACCTACACAGGTCGAGTCCATCTGTTATGGCCAGGCATTCGTCTCTCGAATTTATGTTGGGGTTCTCGCATGAACCTACAATGCTTCCAAGCTTTTCCGTTTTGCCGTGAGGAGGTCGTGGGCTTTGGCATCAAAATCGTTTCTGATACCTCAAGATCCACATTTCCGAGGCATTGTCTCCGACGCTCTCAGGGGAGTTTCAGTAGTCGATCGTCTTGAGCCAGCCAGGTGTTTGCGTTGTTGAAATTCCTCGAATTTGCTGTTCGAGATTTTATTATTAGAATAAGATTACTTTTATCAACGCCACATCAGCTTACCCACAAGCCGTTAAACGACAGTCTTCAACAATTTCACCGGTTCGCCTAAGCATGTGCTCTCTTATGGCCCAGCATGTACGCTGGCCTTGGTTTTGAGTAGATGCTCCGACCGGAAATGATTCAGGAGTTCTTGCTGGCGAACTTCCTGCGCCGCTTGATTCCCAGAAACCTTTGCCCAAGATGAACTTGCATGGTGTGGAGAAGCAGAAACGAGATTTGTCTTCAGGCTTTCCCTCTTCAAGAGAGTAGCAGTAGTGGAGTAGAGAAGGCAGCGCCGAAACAGGATTTGGTAGAGATAGCACGTAGTGCAGAGTTACCTAGAGCGCTAGGCACACGTCAAAAGCGTGACCTCCCACTCTACCGGAACTCTATGTCGTTAAAACACATTAACATTTACCAAATACCCTATCTTTTCTACATTTTTTAAACTTTCAGGTTCGCATTATATTATGTAGCGTAGGAGGTACAACTGAAAGGATCTCACGGCTGTTGAAACCTCTGCTGACCCAGTCCCAGTTTAAGTGTGTGTGCGCGTGTGTATCTGACCGAAGATCCACAACTCCTGTCATTGGACCTAAAGCGTTTGAATTTGGTAGTTGTATTGGCGGCAGGATAGGAACACTTATGGTGAGTGGCAGAACCGAATTCCTCTCACAGAGGGCTGAGCTTGCTCGAAATAAATGTGTGAGCGAGAAACTAAACTCCTGTCCCTGTGGACATGAAGCGTTCAAATTCGGTATGAGTACTGGCGGCAGGATGGTAGATTGCAGGCTCGAACCTCACACCAAAGAGGGCCCGATAGGCGGAGTTTGCACGAAAATTCATAATACCTGTTACCGTGCACATAGAGCGTACAAATTTGATAGAAATTCTGGAGCAAGATGGGAACACTTAAGGTGAGTTGCAGGACCGGCTGTATGTGGGAATGCTGATAGGAGGTGACATGACTAGACTAATCCCGCAGGATGTGGAAATTACGCAAAAATTGCTAATTCAGACCTGGGACGTTCTATTTGCATTGAGGCAGACGATCGATTTAGGACACTGATTGTGGTTAGTACAGGGTGTCCTTAAATTATGGGAGCCGAAATTCGGACATTCCCGTGGCAGAAATAACCTATCAAATCCACATTACCTGCTATTAATTAGTTGCATAAGAAGGCTTCCTTGCAATATGCATGGTTTCTAATGTGAAACTTCCAATATCTTTCAGATGGAGGAGGCTCATTTAATGCTACTTGCAATCATCGACACGCGAAAGGTGGGAGGGCATTATGAAGTTCCTTGGAATTCTTACAATAACCGTATAGCAGGCTACTAAGCGATATAGGAAAAAAGATTGGATCAGAGACAAACCAAGAAAGGTAGAAAGGGTGAACGGTTCTGAAGATAGGACTCCTAAAATGGTCCGTCTGCCAATCGATCGGGATCCTGGGTGACCCATCGAAAGGAAGTTAACGGGCACGGCTAGTCGGAGTTATCGCGATGGAAGGATGTCATACAAAAGCTTCATTGCCATTCCTATGGTACGCAGGAATTTCTCTTCAATTCCGATCTCAACAGAGAGTGCAGGGCCAAAAAATGCAGAAAGTCGCAGACCCACTTGGGTGATGACACGCAATACTTCATCGTTTTTTCTGGCCAGAACATTTCTTACGATAATATCATTCTTGAACACCAAAACATTCGCGCTCCAGAAAGAAACAATTCACGTGCAATCTCTCACAAAAAGGTTGCTATAAGAACAGTAAAATGATGTTTTTGAAGAAGTCACTGGCAAGAGTGAGATGCTCATGGTTTCTTCGGTGCCGGCGAGAACAGGACCTGCGTGCCACGTGCGATCAGGTCGAGAGCAAACTTTAGGTCTCTATCTGCGCTGGGGGTATAATTGTAGCGTTTTGTAGCAAATGGTTTCAGCTAACGTGCATAGAAATTCCATCGTCTTTCACAGCTGAGAAGCTTCAACTGCAGGGTGCGCCATAAGTATGGTAACAACTTTTCGGACGTCCATAATCTCCTTGTTTGAAGGATTCCCCCAAATCTGCACACTCCGTTATTTTTATGATACACCTTAGCCCACATATCTACTTTGTTGCTCACAATTTGTCGGATGTCGAAAACAATGGGGCCTTGCAGACATCCACCAACCGTTCCTTCTTTGCGCACATTTGATGAGTCCCTTTCCGTGATCGCTCCTTATTTCAGCGTTTCCCATGTGA